AGAGAGACAGAGAAGGAGAGAAGAGACAGAGAGAGAAACAGAGACAGAGAGATAAGAGACAAGGAGAGACAGAGAAGAGACAGAGAGATGAGAGACAAGGAGAGACAGGGTGTGACAAGAGACAGAGTGAACAGAGACAGACAAGGAGAGAAAAGAGACAGAGACAGAGATGAGAGACAAGAGAGACAGAGAGACAGACACAGAAATTGATAGAGACAGAGAGACACACAGAGAGGAGAGACAGACAAGGAGAGAAAAGAGACAGAGAGACAGAGACGGAGATAGAGAGACAAGGAGAGACAGGGTGAGACAAGAAAGACAGAGAGAGACAGAGACAGAGAGACACAGAGATTGATATAGAGACAGAGAGAGACGAGAGACAAGACACAGAGACAGAGGAGAAAGACAGAGACTAGAAGGGACAGGGAGAGAGACAGAGATGACACAGAGACGGAGAGACAGGAAGCAGGAGAGACCAGAGACGAGCCCAACGGGGCCCGCGCCCGGCAGGTGCCGCGCCCCCCCCACCTCCCCCGTTTCCCGTCCCCCCCCCCCCCCCCCCCCCCTCCCCCTCTCCCTCCCCCTCCCAGGAGCTTCCACTCACCCTCCTCTACGCTTCCGCGCTCCGGGCCTCCCCCAGCCTCGATCTGGTTCCCTCCGCGCCCCGCCCCCGACTCCGGCGGAGACGCGTGAGTGACGTCACATCCGGGCGGCTTCGGGAGGCGGGGCATTCGCTACACCCCGTAGGCGAGAGAGTAGGGAATCGTGGGCCCGCCTCCGCTGCGCGGCCCGGGCCAATGGGGAGTCGCGGAGCGGAGGCCATCTTGGTAAAGGAAGGCCAACGGAGAAGTGTAGTTCTTGAGTCGCTTCAGTTGTGTCTGACTGCCCGTGGCCTCGTTTGGGGTTTGCTTGGCAAAGATGCTGGAGTAGTTCGCCATTTCCTTCTCCAGCTCACAGATGAGGAAGCTGAGGCAAACAGGATGCCGTGACTTGCCCAAGGGTCACACAGGAAGTGTCAGGGGTCACATTTGAACTCAGGGCTCCCCGACCCCAGGGCCGCCCCTAAACCGAGAAGTAGGACGAGCAATTTCTTAAAGGGGCCGGAGGAGCTTCCCAGCTCCCTTGGAGAACCGCCTGCACTATGATTAAAGAGGAGCGCCTGTTTACGTAGCGTTTTAAGGTTTGCAAAATGCTTTACACGTGTTAACTCATTTATGAAGCGCCTGCTGTGTACCGGGCACCGTGCTGGACGCTGGGGAAATAAAGGTGGTAAAACCGTCCACACTCTCAGGGAGCCCCCAGGCTAATGTGGGAGCCCACATGCAAACAAGTGCGCCCGAGCGGGCCTTCCCCTCGGAGGGGCTGGGCAGGCTTCCTGTACTGGGGTCCCGGAGGAGGGGGGCTCTGCCCCTGGAGGGGAGGGTCCGGGAGGAGGGGATGGGGGGGCTCTGACTCTGGTGGGGAGGGCCTAGGGAGGAGGGGCTGGGGGCGGGGCTCTGCCCGGGATGGGGGCGGGGGACTTAGGTCCAGAGGGAGTGGATCATCCGTCCCACCCAGTTCGCACCTTCTCTGATCCCTCCAATCTGCCGGGCCTTCAAGGCTCCAGTGTCAGTTCCTTCCTGACATCCCTTCCACCTCCCCTTGTCTCCTGCCGACCATTCGTACGTCTGTGCCTCCCAGCTTCCAGGATTTCCTCCAAGCCTCAGCCTAACTCCTTATGCAAGAAGCCGTCCTTGAGATGGTTTCCACTTTCTCATGTACAGACCTTGTTTGTTCACAGTGCTTTCTATGTGGTCTCCGCCATTAGACTGTGAGCTTCCTGAGGGCAGACAGTCTTTTGCCTTTCTTTGTATCCACAGGGTCTAGCACAGTGCCTGGCACATAGTAGGCACTTAATAAATGCTTATTGACTTGACAAAGACTCCCTTCCCCACCCTCACCAGGATACCTGGCCCTGTTCTTTTCCAGCTATGTGAGCGTGGGGCGAGAGACAGTTCAACCACTTTGAGCCTCAATTTTCTCACCTGTAAAATGGTACTAATACAGTTTTTACTCCCTCACTTCCACCTGTTTGAAGAAAGTCATTTTAAAAGTGCTGTTGAAATATGAGCTGTCATTAAAACTAAAAAGGTGAAAATAAAACGATTCATCAACTATAGCACAAAGGGCAATCCATTAATATTCTTCTCATTACTTATTAAGAGACTGCCAAGGCCTCTATCACCAGACAGATCTTCTGACTCCAAGGCCAGTGTTTTTTGTCATTGTATCATGTTATCTAGCATGAGACATGAGAAGACATGGAGAAATATAAGGCAGGAAATGAGTTTATGACCTAGTATTAGCCTGGACTTAGGAAGACTCAAGTTCAAATCTGGCCTCACATACTGATCCTCTACCTTAGTTTCCTCAATTGTAAAATAGGGATAATGACAGCACTTCCCTCTGAGGGGTTTCTGAGGATCAGACACGATAATATCTGTAAAGAACTTTGCACAGTAGCCCAGACTGGAGGGGCAGAGGCCTCCTCAGTTAGTTTCAGTATTTCATTGACCATCCTCCTTAAATCTCAGTCTCCTAAAATGGTTTTAAGTGCTACTTGAGATAATGGACTTTTCATTGACCATGCTATTTGAATTTCATCATCTTTCCCCCCTCAAGAAGTAGGTACCAAATGCATTTGGGAAAAAGGGTGAGGATCTAGCTTACCTCACCAATGCTATGTAAAAGATACAAGCAGTGTAAAAGGGAGGTAAGTCAGAGGAATGTCTTTGGGGATGGGGTGGGGTAGGGAGACCTGTAAAAGCTTGTGGATAGAAGGATTTGAACTGAGTCTTGAAGGAAGTGAGGGAAGCCAAAAGGTGGAGGTGAGGTGAGGAGGAAGAGCATTCCAGGTATGAGGACAGGGCACCAGGGACAAAATGGAAGACCTTTATAAAACAGTCACTTTGATTACATTGCTACCTACTGTTATCTCATTTATGGAGTTGGACAGCAAAGGAGACCCACCTACAAGGGCCGAGACTTCCAGAAGGAACAAAAGGACAAAGCTTATATAGGTTTCAATTTAGGCAGGAGGTTGAATTGGGTATGGGGTACCTCAGGATCGGATGGGGCCTCTTGCTGGTAACAGGAAAAACTCTTCTTCAGGTTAGCTATCTTTTGTAACCCTGCTCTAATAGATAGGACTACCCTTGCTGTTTAAGCAGAAAGGAGGGGAGAGAAAAACTAGGTTCCAAGAGGTTGTCCCAGTGGAGCGCCACCACTCCATTACCTTCCATCTCCTCAATTTGTATCTTTCATTTGAATGCGAGCTCCCTGGGGGAAGGGCTTGGTTTTGCCTTTTTCTGTACCCTCAGTGCTTAGCACAGGTGCTGGACACACAATAAGACCTTAATAAATACTTGTTCCAAGAACACGGACCCTAATCTAACCCAGAGAAGTACAGACTTGTTTCCAATTTCATTTCTGATGTATGTATGGAGGGTGAATGTATGCAAGAACGGAGGAACACAGAGACCTGAGTGATTTCAGGAGCAACATACTCCAAAGTCCTCATCAGAGAGATAAGCAAGCTTGGGGGAATGGAATAACTTGCTCAGGATCACAGAGGCAGGATTTGAACCCAGATCTTTGACCTCCTGGGGCAGAATTCTTCCCACTTATACCACACTGCCTCCAATGGTGCTCAAATAGAATTTAGTCTAATGGCATCATTTTAACAAAAAGTACAAGAAGGTCCAGAGATGAGGGATAGCTGAGACACATGGCTGGCTCCAGACCCTGTGGTCTTTGTCCTGAAATCTTCATGGGGCTAAATTTGAGAAGAAACTAAAGAATAGGGGCAGAGACTCTACACTGTTTAGCTTGGTGAACTCATCAGCTCCCATGAACTATCTTCTCGGTGGTGATTCTCAAATCTGCTTGTCCAGCCCCAAACTCTCTTAACTCCACCCAAGTCTCCAACTGCCTGCTGGACATCTTGCAGGGGAAATCCTATAAACGTCTTAAAGTCAACACATCCAAAACTGAATTCAACTCCCCCCCCGCCGCCAACCTTCTCTTCTTTTAGCTTCCTGAATACTGTGGAGGATACCCCCCACTATCCTCCCAGACAGGTAGGCAGGCTCTAAATTTGGGGGTCTGGCCCTGACTCCTTACCCTCTTCTCCAATCTGCCACCACATCCTTTCTATTCCTACCTGCGTAACACCTCATTACAGGCCATTTTCCTTCCTCTTGGCACTGCCCCGCTCTGGTGTGGGTCCTAATCGCCTCACGCCTGGACAAGTGCAATAGCCTGCTGGTGGGGGACCCTTGCCTCAAGTCTCATCCTATTTCAGTCTATCCTCCACTTAGACGTCAGTGATCTTCAACCTCGGCCTGACAGAGTCACCTCTCCCCTCCTCCCTCCACCCCAATTTAATATGCTCAGAGGCTCTGTATCATTTTCAGGAACAAACATAAAACCCTGCTATTTTTAAAGCCCTTCTTAATATGTCGTCCTCTCACATTTCCAGTCTGCTCACACGTTATTCCTCTTCACACCACTTCCTGACTCTCTGCAAAATCTTCAGGCTGTCCACTTTGCCTCCTGGTTTCCCAGTTAAAATCCCACCTTCCACAAAAAGCCTTTCTGAATCTCCCTTAAGATGCATTCTGCTGATCTTTCTCAAGCACGTTTGTACATAGTTGTTTATATGCTTTCTCTCCCATCAGACTGTGAGCTCCTGGAGGGCAGGGGCTGTTTTTGTTTGCCTTTTTTGTATCTCTTGTGTAGGCATGGTGGCACATAGCAGGCACTTAATAAACGCTTGCCGAATCACTATTTTTCAAATGTGTGTAGAGGCTGTTGTGATGAATAAAATGCCATTTTATTTAAAAATCTCAGTGAATTCATAGCATCTTTAGGTCATGATGTTTTCTTAAAGGATACTAATAGTACAATTGCTATTGTGAAGTTTTTTTTCTTTTACATAAAAAGAAGCAAGCACTCATTCTTGAAAAAGTTGGCAAGCACCACTATAGGCAAAGTTGGAGACAAACTCATTAGCTAAAGGATAGGGTCAGGGCACTTTGCTGAGCTCTTCCGTGGGAGCCTGGAATTCCTCAGCTGCCATCCCAGGATATAGGAGGTTTACTTAAGTCCTCCCCAGATCTCAAACACATGAGGAAATTTAGGAAATGCTCCAGGGTCTGATGGCTGTTTCCTTTTCAAGGTAGCCTGGGCTAGAAGACTTAAGAGCCCTTGACTCCAATATCTCTTCCTAATGACAGTAAGAGGTAGTGGAGCATCTCGGACTCGGGAGCCAGGAGATCTGGCCGCAATTCAGAACTAACGCTAAACGTGGGGCTCTGGGCCAATCACTCAACCTCCTTCCTCATTCAGAAAAGAGGGTTACTCACACTTTCGGAGAAACCCAGATCATTACAAAAAGTCGTGGATGATTTCTGCTCACCCATGGCCACACATACACAATCCCAGCCCTACAGCTAATCAGCTATTTTTTCAGCTCAGCGTTACGAAAACCAACGAGAGGGAAAAAGACAGAGGGGGAGGAAGAGGGAGAGAGCTGGAGGGAGGGAGAGGGGAGAGAGAAAAGGGGAGAGGGGAGAGGAACAGAGAGAGGAGGAAGGGGGAGGAGGAGGCAGGCACAGGGGTGGGAAGACCCAAGAGACCAA